ATAAAAACAGGACAAAAAGATCTCGGACATCCAAGTATCCTGGCCTGTATTTTGAGTATATCAACACGGACTACGGACAGACGATGGAACAATCCCCATGTTTGTAATTTTAAATGATATTTTACTGACAGGGTTGAAATTCCGATCGTTATTATACTAATACTGTGACAAGACTTCCCGGTTTTACCGGGAGAGTCCTTTTTTTCAGGCTATGTCCCGGTTTGGAAACTGTCCCGGTTTTGGGGGATGCAAAAACCAATATAATTAACTAGAATCCCTTGACGTTTCCGGGGGAAACTCAAGGCTGTATAGCAGTCAATAAATCTTAGTGATCTAATTTTTCTTTCCATTCTGGGGTCCCAGTTTTTCGCATTGCTAGGACTAACATTTGCGCATTTTCTTGATGGTGTCGCGGGTTTTTTTTTCCCTGAAAAAACTACTCTCTCACTCTAGTGTCACTTTAGTGTACCCGAGAACCCAGCATGCAATTATTTCATTAAAAGCTAGTCTCTCTGTACCATAATAATTCGATCATGAGATTTTTTTTTTTCAAAATACATTTCGCTGTTATCGGCAGGATAAGGATTTGGGAATGCTACTTTCCTGTATGTCTTCCTACCTCTCCATGAAAGGTAGGTCTACGAGGTATATGCCCCTTGCCCTCACTCGGGAGGGAGGCTAATCGGGTAAGGAATGCACCAGGGGAGATACCTGTGTGTGGAAGGGGTGAAGCATGACAGAGACCCTCCTGGCTATGCGCGCTCCATCTCCTTTTCTCCCCGCAATGTTCCATTCTCATTCACTTGTAACGGCATCATGAAAATCGGTTGCCATTTGATCCCTAATGTTGCCAGTCTCCAGAAATTGCAACATGAGATTCCTCTGTTTAACCTACGTATGATAATCCTGCTCTCTGAGACATTGATCCTGCCGTTGTGTGACTATGGCCCCCCTTAACGGTCCTCTGAGAATCCATGGACTCCTTTGTATCGTCTGAATGAGGTTTCGGCACTTCGTCCCCCTGCTACAGATGCATCTTTGCAGCTGTCAAGTCACGAATAAATTACGTCACTCTGCAAAATATCTGGAGCGTCCCTCATTCAGAGTGCTCCTCCGATTCGATGCCTCGATTTTCTGCTCGGAAAAAAGCATGAATCCCACTATAGTCAAAGCTGTGTTGCATGACGGTTTCGCGACTCGCAGTAACAGATCGGCAGGATTTTTCACGTTCTTGGGGGAATCTACTTTCCTTGGATTCCAGCACGCCGTCGCACCGTATGGGCCCTGATATGGGCCTGTCTTTTCGATGCCACGGCAAGAGAAGATCCAAACGCTCCACTTCTGGCTCCCTTCCGAACAAGGTCATGAAGCTGTTCCCGGCTTTCAGAGGAATCCCTGTCGGCACAATGACGTCGTGTCAACATTGACAGTAGGTTGAGATGCTGAAACATGGTTCAAATTGGTAATCAACGAAGGATCGACAGCAATGAAATGCCGACTATTCGTGATTAACCACATTAGCCTACATAGAGACTACTCATGGGATATTGAAGTCGTGGAAGCTTGGAAGCTACTAAGTGCAAATTCGTTTTCCACATTTGACATGGTCTCAACATTGAGACTATGTTGTAATAGATTATTGTAATAGAGTTGTCATTGTCTCAAGAACCAACATCAACATTGTGAGTATGTAACCCATCAGCGCATTTGCAAATAAAAAAACAGAAAATAATTCTACCAACCGAAGCAAGATGGCGCCAATCTGCCGATTTCGCGATTCCACCCCTAATGCCACTGGAATGAGTCTCCGGTATTTTTTACTCGGTACTCCATCTTTTCCCAAATACAATTTAGGGGAAGGCTTTGAAATTCGTGAATTGATCCGTTTAAGGAGGTAACTCATCGGATGGAGACTCCAGGCACTCCAGACCCGACAGCTGGATCATTAATCCTTCAACAATCCACTCTCTTCAACTTCAAATCGGTATATATTATAATTAAAGAGGTAGATCTTGCATCTCTTTGACTAAAATGCAATCTCATCTCTCTTTGAGATGAAAGGATTTAAATCTGCATGCGAAGTTGTGTCCAAATCGCGTCCCGTGAAGGATGGAGGTCGCCTACAGCATAATGCCAACCTTTGCCGGACAGAAGCAGATGCGCGATTAAGGAAATCATCTAGAATTCAGATCCTGTAAAGGAAGTCACAGCCTTACATGGAATCAACCGTGGGATGGTAGTATTTGCGAGAGTAATTCAAAGCTGAGAGGTAGAACAGAAAAATTCCAGTGAAACAAGGTCACAATTAATCATTGAATGCATGACTGAATGGTAAATATTTCCATAGGTCTGGTCTATGGATCCAATACCAAAATTACACGCATTAGACAGACTTTTGAATATAATATTCGTTTTATTAAAGAAATGTCAGAGTAAGAAACCTATAAATCAAGTATTATAATTTCATAAATAAAGATTCACTGGTATGGATCCCAAAGACTCGTGTCATGTAGCCTATGGTTAAATAAGCGCATCTTAAATATTGAGGAAATGACGAAAGTAACTACCAGATTTTGAAAATTCAGTCCTGATACTATGTATTTCATGAGCGTACTTGTAATGTCGAACTGGTGATTTATTTCACCACATCTGTAACACAGAAACTATGTCCTACACAACGTTGTGACAATAGACCTACACTGAAAATATCAATCCTTGCTGAACGCTGACTCAACGTCGTTGTGCTGGCTGGTAACATTTCTCTCTGTGCCGGCCTTGTAACGCGAGGGGAGGGGAGCCACACTTCATTTAATGCATGTGGACTCTTGTTGGCGGCAAAGAAAACTGGCATGGACCCAATCTGAAGAAAAGAAAGAATTATCTACGATCGTTCCTCGTCACCGGGCAAAGGAAACGACTGAAGTCGACACAGAAGAGTGAAGGTGTTCTTCCACACATCGACACGGGAAACATGAAAACACACGCTCTGGCAGAAGTACATGAATAGATACGAGATGTCTCGAAAACGATTCGTTCCGTTTTCACGAACTCGTTGGGGAGATTTCCACCTCGGAGAGGACTGGCAAGGTCATCCCATTTGTCTTCTCCACCGACCGACCGAGGTTCATCGTCGACATTTCCAGACCCGGCAATCCTCAAAAAGACATCCTCTCGTTTCCTTCTCGTCTTTTTCTCTGACCACTCTTGGGGTCCACATACTCGTTCTTCGGTTCGGCCTTCGCGGTCGGGCCTTTGCGAACGAGATCGTCGATCGACCTCATCCGTTCGCAATGCACAAGCGTAAGAAGAAAAGGAAGGGAAGAGGAGGAAAAAATAAGCATCGGGTAAAGGAGAAGTGAGCGAAGGAAATTCACTTCCCCCGTCCTGCTGGCCATCCGCTTCGCTTACAGACGGAGGAGAAGGAATGGGAGCAGGGGGAGCATCGAGTGGATCGAGAGGGTTTGGGTCATAGACACCTCGGGTTGGTGAGGACAGGCCTCTTCCTCCTTCTTCCTCCTCACCTCGCACTCATCGTCACGAGTCCGGAGGTCTTCCATCACGCACTGGCAGGAAGACAAGAAAGTGGCGAACTCGGTTTTGTATAACGCTGCCCTCGCGTTCGCGCATTCTTCGCTGCAAGTCTTCGTTGCGAAGCTCTCCGCACACGCAAGGTCGAATTGCTGCCACGCCCCAAGGCACGACTCCTTCACGGTACACAGAAATGTTGCGTGCTGGAAGAAAAGACACGTGCATTCATTCTTGTGTTTTTATTAAATGACAGCCAACCATTGAAGAGACTAGTCGATGAAAACGGGAAGGAGAAAGGTAAAACCACCAATCCGGACAGTTAAGCCGGGACAGCGTTGTAATTCGCTCGTCACGCCTTAGTGGTACAAGACGGATACTTCATTTCTTGTGTCTGGGAGCACGGTATGAGTAAGTATGAGTGTTATAAAGATGTTGTCCTTCGAAGCTTCCGATAGTGCCTATTTTGTGGGCGTCCGAACTTTGATGCGAAAAAATCAAATTTGAACTTAATGTAGTTCGAATTCTCCAGAAGTGAAACGGAAATTTGCTCATGGCATGCACATTCCATGTAGCAATACTCTGTGTTCCCTTGTTCCCCGTGGAAAACGAATTGACCACAGAATTAACAATACCACGCGGGAAGCGTTTCTCAAGTAAAGTTCGTTTTCTTGAATTTCTCCTATCCGCAATAAGACATTTATTTCCATTCGATATTTCCAAATCATGTTGAGCGATCGTCGCCACCGCTACTCTTTCGCTAAGTAACATGTTCATCTTGGACTAGGAAGAACTTTCTCAGAGATAGATCCCGCGATTGCTTTTATTAAATAATAAACGTTAATGTAATAGTAATAGCACGTAATGGAACAGGAGTCAGGTAATCACAAAGCAAGTGAAGTGGTGAAGGTAATCTCACACTCAGCCTTCCTGCGGGAAGGAAGCTAAATCAGGCTGGCATCGGTCTTATGCCGCTCGACTTCAAAATAAAATGTCCTACAAACGTTTCACCGACGAAGGCTAAGGCGACATTGGGAGGCATGCATCAGCCTCGTGTATGTATCAAGCCGATGCACAATATACATCCCAATCGACGCACATCCATCAACCACTTGAAAAAGTTGAGGAAATAGCCCTCGAAGACTTCATCTTGACATGGCTTCGCAGGTAGACACTCGAGAATGATTCAATAGCGATGGGACTCCAGGGGAAAGGAAAAGAAAACCGGCGTCATCATTGACGCCGCCCTCTTTCTCTGTTCCTATAGCGCTCGGCGAGTTTTCTCTGCATCGACTCATCCAACGCCCCTGAAAATGTGCTCGGTCTTCCTGCTCATCAATAAGAGTTACCCTTCCACATCTCATTCACAAACTTCTTGGTGATCGTTAAGGATGATTTGAAGGCCTACAACCGATGCAACCCTCATTCAATTAAAGCGTCTGCCAAGCTTTCTTAAAGCCTATCCATGCCCTTGACTATTCGATTTCATGACACATCACTACTAGATCGAGTACCAAATTGCATGAAGGTGCCACTTTTGCTGCCGATGAGTTGGCCTAAAAATGAATAAACGAAATGAATAGAGACAGAAATGGAACGGGATGGAAGAAATAACCTCGCAAGGAATGATGGAATCGGTGCGGTTCAACTGGACGATGTTGGGGAGACACCGGTTGATTCTATCTTGACTCTTTTGACACAAGTTCCCCTCGCATTTGCAATGCAGGTAATCGAAGCCCTCGGCGAACGTGCTCAACGTGATGATTGCGTGCACGCATTGCTGTTGACACGGCACCCCCGTCTTCGACAGGTTCTCTCGGCAATTCAACTGATAGCTGCACGAGAACACAAATAGTAGCCTGTACATTTCTGGCTCTCTAATGGATCCCACAGAGACCAATTTATTTTGCAACAAGCTAACAACGTTGGATTCCTTCTGTTAAAAACTAAACGAGGTTGAATAACTTATGTAAGAAAGAACGATTGCCATTGCTAGGTTCTGACAGACGTCATCAGTCGCTTCCATTTTCCCTGGAAGCCCTCTCGAACGCCTCCTTATCATTAAGAAGGAGCGGGCTAATCAGAGGGAAGAAGGGTGAGGTATAACATGTTGAATATATATACTGTATTTTTCGCCAATTAAGACAATGTTTGTCTTGATATTTCATTTTATGAATGCCATGATCAAACATCTGTATTGACATTGCATGCATTATGCAGTAAAAATAGCTAAGTTTTACATATATTACTGCTAATGATAAGTCCTCATAAATTCTGGCTAGCAAGTTTCCTTGCATCGGGGTATCGACTCAAAGCGCCCCTTGAGCTTGCCCCCCCTCTCTTAATGTCGCCGTGGAGGAAAAAGAAAGGATGGGTTTGGCTCTCACTTGTGAAAGGCAAGGCCACAGTGGACGTTATAGTCGGCGCATCGGGCTCGGCCCAGATCGCATCCCACCCGTTCACCGTGGACTCCCATGGCAACGAGGAAAATGGAAAAGGACAACTGCACTGTGCCCCTCCAATCCATCATCTTTTCATCGAGTACGTTACCCCGTCAACGATTCGTGCCGCATTCATTCGACCCGGCTCTGACGTCGGTTCCACTCGATCCCTGGAAAAAATAAAGACGTGAACCTTGACCACCACTGTTCGGTCCTCCTTTGGGTTTTCTTTCTTCGAGCACACTAACGGAGAAACACTCGAAATGGAATAGTTCTTGACGATCTCTGTCCATGATCGTTACCGAGAGATGAGATGCTACCTAATATGAAAGCCTTCTGCCTTCAGTGAGAAGTAGGGTCGCCACTCGTTCATGATTAGTACGGACAGTACATATTTCAGATTCAATGTCCATACTGCTAACAGGTCTTAATATGGACACTGTTTTGTCCGCATTTCCAACTTAAATTTTTTGAATTTTGAAGGCGGTTTTAGCTGTTATTAAGCTTTATTGCTTAATAACAGCTAAAACCGCCTTTTCCCTCAGTCAATAGTAGTAGGCCGCATTCTTGGACTCAAGTATCGACGGGCACTTTGGCTTTAGGTGGCTGTGGGCATTTGCGGCATAGCCGCACACGCAAGTATACTTCGAATATTCGTCCATATGTCCGCATTGTCTAAAATTAAAAGGTGGCAACCCGAGTGGTTACGCTGGGGTCACGGTCACTAAATCATGGCATTCTGTAACGTGCATACAACGTCGTGAAATTGGTGTTCTCCGCGAGTTGTTAAATGATAGAAAAGAAGGTTGTAGAAAAGGGATGACGAAACAGAAGTGAGTCGTCATCGAGACGGCAGGGAGTCGTCCTCGAGACAAAAGAGCTCCTCCACCGCTGGAAGGCCTATCCACTACGACCTAACGACGAAATCTGGGTAGTCTGGGAAGTCAGGGACATGTAGACCTGGATAAAAGAGGAATGGGTGATAGAGATGGGAATTTTTTCTCACCGGTCTAGTGACACTCGAACAGCACTCGGGAAGGCCGAGAGGGTGAGACGACACACGGCCTCGGCATGTTGCGAAGTCTCTACTCCTCGCATCGGGGGTTCTCCCAGGATGGAGATTGCGCCCTGTTCCTCATATCGATCATAGACTCCATCGACGCAATGGAGCTTCGCCCCCCCGTTTCCTCCCTTCTATGCCGTAAAACTCACTCGTTTCTAGCGGCAACGAGACCACCTTTTATGGGAGATTTTATGGGAGATCGAGCGGAACGCACGTATGAATGGGTTAACCATAAAGAGTTGCGATCGGCGAGAAGCGTTTCCTCTCGTTCGAGGGGAAAACGATAGGAGCGTATGCGCATCGAGTTCCGTGAGGACGGGAGATGCAAAGAACAGAATGTTTCCTTCTTCCCCCCCTCCCCCCTCCAATATTAGGAAAGCATTAGCAGAGATTCCGTAAACCTTCCCCTCATTCCTCGCCTCTTTCAGCTCGTCTTTCCGGTCCCGACTGCTCTTCTGAGAATTCTTTCTTTTAGGCTCGTCCACATCAGGAAAGTTTTATTACTAAAGAAAAATTTTAAAAAGAAACTTTTGAATAAAACCTCCAGAGCGTTAACAATCTTTCATATAAAACTTTCAGAAGCGTCCACACCGTGAAAATTTTCTTAGCAAGTCCACTTACAAAGAAAATTGCATAGAAAACTTTCAGTGTGGACGAGCCTTTATTGGAAAGTTGAGATGAACTGCTCGCACGATACAAGCTCTCCTGCATTGTCTTCACCCTCGCTTATCGTTTATGTTCGAATCTTGTACATACGATATGTGTGAACGAAGCTTAAAGAAAGAACGGGTTAAATTAGAGGCACATGGGATTAGGGGGTAGGACGGACGAGTGGATCGGCAACGGGTAGTCAGAAAGGCAACAGCGAGCGATTGCGAATGATGTGTCGGCAGAAGTCGAGCGAGCGGGCGGAGTCCATCAGGGCGAGGTCCTAGGTCCACTTCCTTTTTATGGTCTACATTAACGATTTAGATCAAGGCCTAGTGGCTAAGAAAATCAAATTTCACGACGACACCAAAATATGTTTTTCTATCTGGGGGGGGGGGCGGATAGGGTGAGAGCCGAGTCAAACTCGAGGCAAACGGGGAGAAAAATCTAGGGATGAAAGTATCAAGGTAGTTAGTGATATCAAGAGGCGATTTCGCCCATTTCGATATCACGTGTCGAGGTCGAGCGTTCCTTAATTTTAGGGTAGG